ACAACAACAGCAACGGCAGCAGCAGCAGCAGCAGCAACATCAACAGCAGCAACAACAACAGCAACACCAACCACAACCACAACCACAACCACAACAACAACAATCAGGTTAAGACTGTTCGCTCCTATCTGCTCACGTGCCAATCAATACGTATATCCCTAACCTTCGGTAACCGCCCTCGTCGCCTTCGATCGTACCCCCTTGGGGGCATATCTTCCTTACCTGCCACGTGTATTTAGAGCAGCCCCTAAAACAAGGGAGCAGAGGACGGGCGGAAAGGGAGGGAGAAGAATGGAGCACGAGAGACAGCAGGAGGGGGGAAAGGAGCAGAAAACAAGTGGTAGAACCAGACGGGCAGATCGGGCAGGCAGACCCATGGCGGGCAGGTCGGGAAGGCGGGCCCAGGCGACGAGGTCGAGCAGGCGGGTTGCGAAAGCGTGGGTCCTGCATGAATCGCGGGGAAGTCTCGAGCGACAGCGCGATTCCTAAATAAATCGTGCGAAAAGCCAGCGCGGGCCACGAAGGGCAGCGAGGGGGCCACAAAGGGCGACGGCGGGGCCACGAAGGGCATGCATATGGGGCCACGACGGGCGCGAGCGAGCGGGGGCCACGAAGGGCATTCGTGTGCGGGGCCGCAGAAGCGACAGCGGGGCCACTGAGGGCAGCAAAGGGGCCACGAACGGGCAGCGAAGGGGCCACGAAGGGCGACAGCGGGGCTACGAAGAGCATGTGGATCGGATATGGGGCCCTGACGGGCGCGTGCGAGCGGGGGCCACGAACGCATATAATGCGGGGCCACAAAGGGCAGCGATGGAGCCACTGAGGGCAGCAACGGGGCCACGAAAGGTAGCGAGCGAAGGCGACCGCGGAACCAGTACGGGCAGCGAGGGGCATACAAGGCGGGCGAAGGGCAGCGAGCGGCGACTGCAATCATTAATCGGCTGGTCGGGCGGGCAAGCCCCGCCGGGCGGGTCGAGCGGGCGGGTCGTTGAAGCGTGAATCCTGCTTGAACCGCCAGGCGATATGTAGCGGGAGCGCCAATCTTGAGTGTCGAGGACCGGCATCTGAATAGAAAGTGAAGAAACATCAAGCGAAGCGGTCCGGTGGAAAGTTGCGAGGAAGTCCCAAGCGAGAACGATATTCTGCAATCGATTGTCAAGAAGTGTTAAGCGGGAGCCGCGATTCGGTGGTAGTTTGCCAGGAAACCCCAAGCGAGAGCGCGATTCTTCAATCCATTGTGAGGAAGTATCAGGCGAGAGCCGCTGTTGTTGCAAACGAGGGCCAACCACACAGTTTAAACTTCAAGACTCTCCCCGATTGAAAAGAAAAACAGGGTGCGAACCCCGCAAGGGGCACTTCAATCGATACAATACAATGTGCACCAGGCGGGGGGGATCATCAAAAATTACTCTTCAGAAGTGAGAGTTCAGCAACGACAACAACAGCAACAACAACAATCATTTTAAGTCTGTTCGCCCTTATCTGCTCGAGTGTCCAATAACGCCTATTTCCCAGACCCTCGATACCCGCCCTCTTCGTTTTCCCTCGGTGGGTATAACATTATTCCCTGCAGGCCGGGCCTCGGGAAGCGGCGGGGCGCCCGCGGACCGTCAGCCTGGCCAGCGGCAGCGCAGATCGACGTGGCGGCCGCGGACCGTCGACCCGACCCCAAGAGGGACGGACAGGGGACCGACCACGACGACGACGACGACGACGTCGACGACGACGACGGCGACGACGACGGCGACGACGACGAGCGAAAGCGAGAGCGAAAGAGAACGACAGCAGGGCCACAAGGACACGAAGTAGGCCACGAAGGGCAACAGCGGGGACACGAAGGGAATGCGTATGGGGCCACGAAGAGCGCGAAGGAGCGGGGGCCACGAAGGGCAGATAATGCGGGGCCACAGACGGCAACGATGGGGCCACTGAGGGTAGCAACTGAGCACACGCATGACAGATGCACATGGGGCCACCACGGGCGCGAACGAGCGGGGGCCACGAAGGGCATACATATATGATCCAGGGTCGAGGGCCCACGGGCCCTCCCCCCAGATGGTATGGTCCCAGGATTCCTCGGGCCCCCCCCCCCAAGATGGTATGGTCCCAGAGACGACGACGATGACGACGACGACGACGACGACGACGACGACGACGACGACTACGACAACGGCGACGACTACGACGACGGCGACGGCGACGACGACGACGACGACGACAACGACGGCTGCGGCGACGACGCCGGCGGCGGCGGCGACGACGACGATGATGATGATGATGACGACGGCGACGACGACAATGGCGACGACGACGACGATGACGACGACGACGAGGACGACGAGGACGACGAGGACAACGAGGACGACGACGACGACGACGACGACGACCTCTGAACCACCACAGCACCACACCGCATCCACAGGGGGGGGGGAGGGGGACACCGCAGCGCAGCACCACGCCACGCCCACCTCTGAACCACCACAGCACCACACCACATCCACAGGGGGGGGAGGGGGGCACCGCAGCGCAGCACCACGCCACGCCCACAGGGGGGGGCGGGGGGGACCATCGCGCGGGGGGTGGGGGGTTGGGGCCCAATGGCATCAGCCCACCTCTGAACCACCACAGCACCACACCACATCCACAGGGGGGGGGAGGGGGGCACCGCAGCACAGCACCACGCCACGCTCACAGGGGGAGGCGGGGGGGACCATCGCGCGGGGGGGGGGGCCAATGGCATAGCATTGGGGGGGGGGGGGGGGGGGGGGGGGGACCAAACCCTGGACCAGATATGGGGCCACGAAGGGCAGCGAGGGGGCCACGAAGGGATGCAACGGGGCCACGAAGGGCAGCGAGGGGGCCACGAAGGGCTGCAACGGGGCCACGAAGGGCTGGGACGGGGGCCACGAAGGGCAGCGAGGGAGCCACGAAGGGCTGCAACGGGGCCACGAAATAAAGCGAGGGGGCCACGAAGGACTGCAACGGGGCCACGAAGGGCAGCGAGGAGACCACGAGGGGCTGCAACGGGACCACGAAGGGCAGCGAGGGGGCCACGAAGTGTTGCAACGAGGCCACGAAACAAAGCGAGGGGGCCACGAAGGGCAGCGAGATCCCGATTCCTTTGTAATCTGTGAGGGAGTCCTAAGCCCTAAGCGTGAGCGCGACTCCTGGGTGCCTGGGTGTCGGGAGCGCGGCGCTCGAGTAAATTGAAAGAAATTCCAACGCAAGGGCGCTATTCTTCAGTAAATTGCAAGCAAGTTTCCAGCGAGAGCGCGACTCCAGAGCGCCGGGAGAAAAAATCCAAGGAAATCCCCAGCGAGAGCGCGATTGCTGAATAAAACGCGAGGACGTCTCGGGCGGGAGCGGGGGTCCTGGCTAAATTGTGAGGAAATCTCAGGCGGGAGCCGTTGTTGTTGTAAACCGGGGGCCAACGACACAATTTGACCCTCAAGACTTTCCCTGATAACAAACAGGGTGCGAGCCTGGGGAAGAGCACTTCAATGGAGAAAAAAAGCAATGTGCACCGGACGGGGGGGATCAACAACAATTATTCTTTTGAAATGAGAGTTCAACAACAGCAGCAACAGCAACAGCAACAGTAACAGCAACAGCAACAGCAACAGCAACATCAGCAGCAACAGCAACAGCAACAGCAACAGCAGCAGCAGCAGCAACAACAACAACAACAGCAACAGCAACAACAACAGCAACAATAACAACATCGCGGTGGGAGGCTTCTGGCCAATTTCGGCCTCTGGGTACCCTCGCCGGCCCCGGAACCGTCCAAAAGCGACTCGGGACGGAAAGCCGTCCCCTGGGCCCCAGGGGCGTAAAGGGTCGGCACTTCCGGGGACCGCGCGTTGAAAACAGCGGGGCATCGCATGTCTGGGTTCATCGACAGTCAGCGCACATAAGGAGGATGCGCAGCAGGGAATCAATACCTTTGGGCGCCCGAGATGGAGCTCTTTGGGCTGAGGGCTGTCTAAGGATACACCCTGCGAAATGCTTTAGAAATCATGGGTTAAGAAATTCATAGTCTCAGAATTTGAATCAAAGCCCAGAATGTCTATTCAAATCTTGGGATTTACATTGAAACATTAATAATAATCGAGACTCTGGCCGAAAACTTGGGTATTCTTAAGCATCGCCTAGAGTGTAGGCCGAATAGGCGAGGATGCAAGGTTACCCTTGGGAGTGTCACTCAACCTGACCATGCGCGCTGCGTCTGCAGTCGGACCCAGGCCAGAAACACGCCCCTCAAGCACACGAGACCCTCCGCCGGCCAACACACACAGAACATCCGAGGGTACCCTCCCAAGGATGCACAGACATATCCAACAAACACGAAGAACACTAAGTGCCCTCCCCGAACCGACCTCGATATTACGCCTCGGTCCGACTGTATCCCCAAGCCCACTGGCATGGCCTTGGCCCCGCTGGCCGATTTACCGCCCCAGGATGGGGATGCAGGCTGTTCCCTTCGGGTTCCGCGGGGCCTCAGCCCCATCTGAGGGGATGGTCTGGCGGGGCTGAGACTCCGTGACTCGGTGGGCACAGTCAACCCGTGCGATAAGGATGCGCGGTAAGGATGTAAGGGCCTTGGAGGGCCGTGTTAGCGTTTATCGAACGAGGCTGGCCAGCGAAAGTCGCTAAGGATGGGCCGAAGGGACAAATATGGAAGGGTAACCTGGGGAAGTCGCTCATCCTTGCTATGCGGGTTGACTGCGTTGGGATCGAGTGAACGGTGCTGAAGTCCAGGTCGTCGCCCCCGCCCGCGGTGCCCTCCAGCACAGAGCCGTACAGGTGGAGGCTCGCGGACGGGAACCTCTCTGGGCACGCCCGATTGCCGCCAGGGCAGGTTCACTGTCAGGACGGCCTCGGCGTTGGTCTCCCGCGCCGCGTGGATCGTCCAACATTGAACGATCGCCCGCCTGGCGATCGCCAGATCGTTCGATATACTGGCCGATTCTGGGCCACTGGCGGCGTTCAACCTCGAACGCCCGCCACGTGGTCGCTGCCGCGTCGGCACGGCGCGACCCTACCGCACCGAAGAAGTGGGCAGGGTGCCCAGCAGCAGATGTCGGGGACGCGCAAACATGGATTAGCGATCCATGGATTTGGTGCGCGGTCGCCAAACCCAGATTCGGGGGAGGTGCCCTCCCTAAAATGCGGCCGGTGCCGAGTCGATCGGCGGCGGGAATCCAAGATTTCCCATGGAAACGGGACCCGTCGCTAATCCACGCCCCCTTGATCCATGTTTACGATCGCCTGAAGATGCTGCCCGAAAGACACTGCTGCCCCGAGTCAACAGCGCACGCGCCCGCACCGACAGCGAGTCCTGCTCAAAATGGGCAAGGGCGGCTGTCAGGGGCAACGATCGGGGGGGGACTGACATGAGGGGGACTGGCATAGAGAGAAACATCGACCTGGAATCGGCGATACATCGCCGCTAGATCGGCGATAGGCCTCCAATGACAAATCCGCGCGCTTCTGGGCGGGATGAGGCCATCGTGCCCCCATCGGCGATGAACAGCCGACTGGAGGTCGATGCGTTCCCCCCTCTGCCTACCTCCCCCCCTGTCGTTGCCTAAGAGGCTGTCGGTCCTCGTGCCTGCAATGCGGACGCGGCCGCAAGAAACCCTCTCAAGAAACCCAGCCCTTAGAACTGAAGGGGCCCAGGGACACACAAGTAAATAGACACAACTAACAGGATTCTCCATGTTCCCGTATTTCCTGGGTTTTCGTCTTCCCCCCACTTCCCATATTTTCCAATATTTTCCTGGGAGTCGACGATTCATTGTGTCTGTGTGTTCCTTTCCCTCCTGAAAAACCCGCGCGCGAGATGCAAGCTGGGGGGAAACCCAGAGCACCCTGAATGCACCAGCTTGTCCTACGGTCGCGGAAGTCACCGCGCAGCGCGCGGAGCGAAGAAACCCAGGGCACACTGACGAAAAGCAGATGGCTTCTTCATGCGCACCCCCATTGTTTGTGGGCGCGCGCAAGGGGGTAGGGGGAGGGGGGAAGGCTTCTTAGAAGGCGCAGGCCTGACATCTACAGAACAGGCCTGCGCCTTCTAAGAAGCAAATGTGGTCCTGAGAAGCCTCCTTTCCCCCTCCCCCGAACTGTACCGTCGAGGTCGATTGGGGAGGGCACGCGATACGACACCAGACAAGACCCTTCCCGGGGCCACATTGCCATGGGAATGTAGAAGACATGGGTCGCGAAGCACAGGACAGGGGTACGCTTGATTGGCAGGGTTGACCTGCTAATCTAGGCGGCGCGCCCGGGGGGTAAGTTATAAGGCGCGGGCCTTCTCAGAAGGTTTGGAAATCCCCTGGCCTTCTGAGGAGTGCTCTGGGCCTTCCCCGAAGACAAAGAAAACTTCTCAGAAGGCGCGAGGGCTTCTGAGAAGCCCCGCTGCCTTCTGAGAAGGCCGTCTCCCCCTCGCTCGCTGCCGAGCAAGGCCGACGCTACGAGCTTTCGCTTCCCGGCTTGCTCAAAAGAAAAAACAAGGGTGGGAGCAGCCCGCGCAGATTGATGAGAGCACCTGGCGGCGGGGCCGAGAGTAGCTGCACCCCACTGATTTCGTGGCCCTTTCCCAATCCCCCCCTCTTCGTCCGATGCCGAGACAGCGGGTCCGCTTCAAAACACGGGCAGACACCGCTGCCAGTCTTCACCACCATTCTCTCTGTACCCACTTCGATCGCCCCGGACCTCGGCCTCAGCAACACCTCGAGGTCTCTCCGGATCTCCTCGCGGAAGACAAGTCTACATGAGCGTCATCTTGCAGAGGTCCCCGCGACTTCTTCTTGGGTCAGCACTGGACACCCTCTCCCAGGGCGCGCGGGGCGCGCCAGGGCTGGCGCAAGAGGCACAGCCAGGGGGTGTAGCATCGACCCAAGAAACCCGCGCGGAACTCCAAAAATGTGTCGGTGGGCGCCAACGGAACGACGATCAAAAACGGGTCTTACGTGAGATGGCATGGCGGGCCACCAGCGCGGTCCGATACGCCGGACGCGCGGGCGCTCACGCGCGACATTACGCGAGCAACTTACGCGCCAGTGTCGGCGCAGACGACCCCGCTTCATTCCGCCTTTCACTTGGTTCCCTGATAGCGCTTCGCTAGAGGATTCGATTGGGTCTAGACGAAACAACTGCATAAACATTCGACGGTCAACTGACCACGTTTTTGCGTCGCTCACTTGGCCGCCTCACCGATTCTGGCCAGGCTTAGGTCGGGCATGTCCTCCTACAGGCGGATATACGAGGAGAAATCAACAGTAGACAACAAATACTCAGAGATCATCAAACATCGAAATACTAGAAACATCATCCCCAGTATATTTTTTCTCCTGTAGAGGGACATGCCCGACTGAAGACCAGGCCGATCCTGGGCTCAGGATCGGCGTGGGCGCCGCCCTGGTCAAGAGCCCGACGGGCGTGCGCACTGATCCTGGGCCTATACCGATACGCCAGTCGGGGATCGGTGCGGTGGTCCGCTGTCTTTCTACCGATAGCGCCACTCCCGTGGGAAAAACACACACAGTAAACACAAAAAACAAAACCAAACAACACAAACACAAACAAAACAACACACCCACACCCACACCCACACCCACACCCACACCCACACCCACACCCACACCCACACCCACACCCACACCCACACCCGCACCCACACCCACACCCACACCCACACCCACACCCACACCCACACGCACGCACGCACGCTGGCGCGCGCGCGCACGCACGCACGCACGCACGCACGCACGCGCGCACGCGCACGCACGCACGCACGCACGCACGCACGCACGCACGCACGCACGCACGCACCACGCACGCACGCGCACGCACGCACGCACGCACGCACGCACGCACACACACACACACACACACACACACCCACAACCCACACACCACACACCACACACGCACACACGCACACACGCACACACGCACACACGCACACACGCACGCGCGCACGCGCGCACGCGCGCACGCGCGCACGCGCGCACGCGCGCACGCGCGCACGCGCACGCGCACGCGCACGCGCACGCGCACGCGCACGCGCACGCGCACGCGCACGCGCACGCACGCGCGCACGCGCACGCGCACCGCGCCACGCGCACGCGCACGCGCACGCGCACGCGCGCACGACGCACGCGCACGCGCACGCGCACGCGCACGCGCACGCGCACGCGCACGCGCACGCGCACGCGCACGCGCACGCGCACGCGCACGCACACGCGCACGCGCACGCGCACGCGCACGCGCACGCGCACGCGCACGCGCACGCACACGCACACGCACACGCACACGCACACGCACACGCACACGCACACGCACACGCACACACACACACACACATACACGTTTTCTTGTGTTGTTTGTTCCCCACGTGTGTTTTTTCCTACTGACCTCTCCATGGGCGCGTTCTGACCAGGATCTCGAGGCGGGCCCAGCCGTGGCCACGACGGACGTGCAGCGGCATCTGCAGATCCTCCCCCCCCCTCTGACTGACGTAGCAAGGCTTCGGGTCGCGCGCAGGCGCCCCCCCCCCCGGCAATTAGTCTCGGCTGGCCTCTACAGGCCCCCCGCACAGGCCCAGCTGGCCTCAGCAGGCCCTCCGAACAGCCTGGATGGTCTCAGCATCCCAACCCTGGGGCGCGGAGCGCTCCAGGGGCGCCGCTGGAGGCAGCGCCAGTGTGTAGAGACCGCCCCAGACTTCTCGGGGGGGGGCCTGTTGATCCCAGCTGGTCCTGCTCAGGGGGGCTGTTGAGGCCAACCTGGGCTATCCAGAAGGGCAGTCTGCGCGCAGCAAGAAGCCTTACCAGACTGACGTTCCCCGAATCCGCGACAAAAGACGTGCAGCGGCATCGGTATACCCGTCCCCCTTCTGACGGACGTTTCCTGAGATCCGACTTGCGAAACAACTTACAGCATCGACCCGAGCCCCAGACCCAATCCTTCTGCGTCCTTTTTTCAAACCAGATCGATGTGGTGGTACCAGGGCCCGGGACCAGCCGAAATCGCCTGGTGTGGAAACAACTGCGACATCACGCCACTGACGTTCCCAGGATCACGCACGCCGATCTTAGATGAGAAGTGCATCAACAGAATCCGTCCTCGCGGATTTCTCGGATCGGCGCTGGACCCCCCTCGCTGGCGCGCGGAGCGCGCCAGGGGCTGCGCCGGAGGCGCCGCAAGAGGGACCCGACGCCGATCCAAGAAATCCGCGCGGAGCTCAGAGCAGTTTCTTCTCAGGGTGGCCTTTAGGCCCTGCAGGCTGTTGGTTCTTGGCGCGGGGAGGCCGCTACCCTGCGGGGCACAAACACATACGAGTAGCTCAACGGAAAGCTCCCAGGTGGAGGAGGAGGAAAGGCGAGGAGGTTGAGGAGAAGGAAGACAAGGAAGGAAGGAGATAGGAAGAAGAGAAGAAGAGAGGAGGAACAAACAACAAAAATAAGGAACGCTTCTGGAACAATTTGGAAAGCACAGCGTGCGGGGGAGGAGGGGATAGACGCAACTCGATCCCAGTTCTCTCAATCCGAAGATGCAGAGCGCCCGCTACTCCCTACGCTTCCGCCCGACGGCGGGATGGGTGAGGGTTCCGACAGGGACGGGATGGTCGATGCTGAAGCGGCGGCACGCAACCGCTGCTGAACCGAGGCGAACACTCAGGCCTCGCGGAGCCTTCAGACAGCCTCCGGCGGCCCAACATAAGAGAACAAACATGCCCCTGCGGATACGGCCCACATTCTCCATGCCTTCCGGGAAGGAAAGGAGGAGGAGGAGGAGGAGGAGGAGGAGGAGGAGGAGGAGGAGGAGGAGGAGGAGGAGGGAGGAGGGAGGAGGAGGAGGAGGAGGCGGAAGGGAGGAACAGGAGGACAGGACAGGACAGGACAGGACAGGACAGGACAGGGCATCCGCATGAGGCATGAGGGTGTCAACGTCAATGCGCCCGCTAAGGTGCAGTGTAGAGCGTATGCGAAATTATCCTGCGTGAGTGTTACGCTTCAAGACTCGACAACCCATCGACATCTTATCGAAGGAACTGCCAGAGGAGGACGCGGAGGGGAGGAGCAGAAGGAGGAGGAGGGCGGGCGCTCCCCGAACCGCGCACGCCGATCTCGAAGCCGCCTCCCCTGGTCTCCTCCGCGCGGCCCTGCAGGCACGCGTGCCGAGCCTCCAGCCGCGCGGCGAGCGCCCCGGCGTCCGCCTCCAGGCGCGCGTCGTGCTCCTCTCGGGGGCGACGGCGGGGGCGAACAGCCCCAGGGGAGAGCAATGCATGCATCCAGGGGTCGCCGATGGTCCATGTCTAGGAGAAGAAAAGAAACGGTATGAAAACATAAACTGTTGGCGCTCCGTGCGGATTTCTTGGATCCGCGCTGGACCCCCTCCCTGGCGCGCGGAGCGAGCCAGGGGCGGCGCCAGAGCCGCCGCCGGGGGGGCCCGGCGCGGATCGAAGAAATCCGCGCGGGGCGCCAAAAGTTTATGTTTATGCCGTTTAGTCTTCTTCGAGGAAGGCCCAGGGGAGAGCACTGCATGTATCCAGGGTCCCCGATGGTCCATGTCATCGGCGAGGCCTCCTCCTCCTCCTCCTCCTCCTCCTCCTCCTCCTCCTCCTCCTCCCCCTCCCCCTCCGCCTCCGCCTCCGCCTCCGCCTCCTCCTCCTCCTCCTCCTCCGCCTCCTCCTCCTCCTCC